AACATACCCCCCCCCCCCCCCCCATGTTAATGTAAGGACTTACTTTAAATCGTGCCTCTTAATCCGATCTTCTTTAGTGCAGTTTTCAGGAGTCCTTCCAGCGCTGGTGTGGATCTCCGATCCAACGCTGACTCCTCTCTCTTCCTGTCCCACGGAGTCTGTGTGGGTGCACGCCATCCATATACTTACCTTGTGTCTCTCCTCGTCTCCCGGCCGTACATCTGAACTGTGCATGCGCCCGCCCCAAGATCCTTTGCGACCACCCAAGACTGTTCAGATGGGAGCATGCGGCGAAGACACAGGTAATTTTTTAAAGTTTGAAAGGTTTTTTTTTTTTTTTTTTAATGTTCTTGCACATATCTACTGCTTACTAGCAGTAGATATATGCATAAAACGTTGAGGGTTTAATAACCTTTTAACAATTAATGTAGTTTGTATACATTTTGTGCATGCACAATTGTGCTATTTCACACACAAGTTGCAGGGGTTGGCAACCTCTGCACGCCAGCTGTTGTAGAACTACAAGTCCCATGAAGCATTGCAAGATTCTCAGCTACAAGCATGACCCCCACAGGCTGAAGCATGATGGGATTTGTAGTTTAACCACAGCTGGGGTGCCCAGATTGCTTACGACTGTAATTGGGTCCATTATGTGTAAGAGAATCGTGTATTTTTAGTAAAAAGCCAGATATGTATGCTGAGGTAAACAATTAGCTATATACATAAAGCCCATCTTCCTCAGACTCCCATCATACAGCCGGTGTTCTATCGAAAGCTCCAACTCCTCAAGTTCTACAACTGCCTGACTTCCGGTTTAGTTAGAACACTAATCCAGCACGTTATTAATCTCAGGTGCCCCACTCAAACGGTGGCCATATTGAGTGGGGGCACTTGAGATAAATAACGTGCTGGATTAGTGTGATCCTAGTTCATTTTAATACTTCATTGCTGTGGTGTATGTATATAGGGCAATGCCGCGGATGGCGCTCGTGCAGAAGAGCTTTCTTGGCCAACCCTCTTAGCTCTAACTAAACAGGAAGTCAGGCAGTTGGAAAACTCGATGAGTTGGAACTTTCGATAGAACACCCGGTTTCCCCACTAGCACAACGTGACCTTCTTACACAATCCTATAGGGATAACATAATTGGATGAGAGAGTGCTCTCGTGACATCCGCTGATACACTTCCGCCTGCAGAGGTGAAAGGTCAGAGGTGTCACGGTGTCCTCTTGTCACACACGTGGGTCACGGCTGCAGCATGCTGTCCTCCTTGTCTCGCGCCTTCTCCGTTGCCGCCAGGGCGCTGGTTGTTCAGCCTCTGCCACTGCTGAGCAGTCGGGCCCCGGGCCTCTCCCTGTGCCGTTCTCTATGGATACATGGCGGAGCTGGCAGCGCGGTCAGGCCGACTTTCCTGAACCCACAGAGGGGCTTCCCGGCTGTATCGTGTGGCTGCGGGGGATTACACACTGAGGGTGAGTGCGCATCTACCACATCATGGCACATCAAGGGTTCCATGTAACCCTTCCCCCTAGATTGGGGGATTTCAGGCTGCAGCTTTTCACGGAGTATGCTAGAAGTCAGATCGCAAGGTTATAGAGGAGGATGACCTTCATGTATGTACTTGTTCTAATCAGAGGCTCTCATATCAAAGCTGTACATTCTGCTTCAACTGTTCTCAGCCTGTTCACCCTGGAGGATCCCCCTGAAATAATTGGCAGGTCTTGGGGAGCCCTTGCTAAAAATAATTATAGCTACAGCACATGGTACCCTGGTGTGGTCAGTAGGTGGTAGATATACAGGTACTATAGAATGTATTATACTTGGCATACTCTACACATCGTCTTCATCTCCATAAAAAAACATTAATGTTTAGTAATAGATGAAATGAGTGAGAATAATGCCAATGAAACAATGCAGTGAAAATGTAGTGCCTCCTTTACTTTGGGGGCATTGATGAGCAGGGGAAGGGTCCCTTTACATCATGGGGTGAGCGAGGGGGGCAAAGGAGGGTGTGAGCGAGCGGGGTATAGTGCAAAGGACCCCCCTTTCTGGGGGGTTAGGGGGCAAAGG